TTCGGTGAACTAATTTTTCAAAGTCAATCCTTGAAATATAGCCCTTGTTTGGATCTAATATACGATCATTCATCTAATTAAATAAATAATATACAAATTAAAATATAAACTAATACTAAAAAAATAAATGAATAAAACATTCTCAACAAATAAAATAACAGAATTTAACAATGTATATCAATGAGAATTAGAACTGAAAAAGCTCGTGCTCGGATTATGTTGTCTCAATGAGATTTGAACCCGATCTTGATTTCCCTTAGTGAACTGCCACTAAGTTTGTTCTTAGGGAATTGAACTTTCTACAAGTCGATTCTCCTCCCCAATTGTAGATCAAAACCTCGATCAAACCAATGCTTGCTCTTTGGGTTGAAAGTGTTAAGATGTTTGAAGGAAAGTCGATTGCCTCTCATTTTTCTTCCTCCGAAAATCAAGAAAGAATTTGAAGATGTGAAGTGCCTTTGCAACTCTCACTAGATCGAATCAAGTCATTGCTCATCTATCGACTAAGAAAAAGTTTAGCCAAGCATGGTGGAGATCATGCTTGGTGTGTAGAAAGAAAGAAGATGAAGAAGAAAAATGTTCTTATTAAACTAAAAATCCAAAACTAAAGAAAAACTAGTACCAGTTCTATACCGAATTCTAAACTTGTACATCTGTCAAGCTTCACCCTGATGGATATTTATAGCTTGAGAAAATCTGAAGGAAACAAAATACTAATTCTCAAGAAAATTAAAACACTTAAATTCCTGACATATAGTAAACTAAAAATCCTAATAATAAATAATTAAAATCCTAATCGAAATTCTTATTCTAAGGCTGATGTAGATAGTGGAAATATTATCATTCCTAAGCAAGATTTAGCGTGGATTGATTGCAGTTTGGTTGGGAAAATTAAGAATAGTTATAATTGAGATATTGTTCAAACAACGTTTAGAGCTGAAGGGTTTGAAGTAAAAGTATGTCCATGGCATGATTTACTGGTTATCATTCAATTCAAAAGCGGAAGAGAACGCAAGGCGTGTTGGTCTTGTAGGGAGGATTGGATCCGCATTTGGTTTGATGAACTTGAATTCCTGGAAGGGTTTGAGAATAAAGTTAAGGTTAAAGTATAGGTTTTCTTAAAGGATGTACATTTTTCGATTTAGAGTGTGAAGTTCTTCAAAGACTTAGGTAGTTCGTGGGGGAAAGTCCTTAAGATAGATGACGAAACCAGATAAAGGGAGAGGTTCGATGTTGCGAAACTTCTGTTGGAAGTTCAATTTGAGTCTTCTATTCCAGATAAAGTCTCCATCATATTAAATGGAAATATTTTCAAAATCAACAGAGCCACATGAGGATATTCGTACTTTTATAGATGGGTCAATGGCGGGGTACAGAGTGGTTTCCAGCGATGTAAGATGAGGCGGAAGATTTGGCTTTCGAAGATGACAATGTTGCAGAGGCTGAGTTTGTGAAAAGTTGGAAGGTGATGGAACAGGTCGAGTCTGTGAGTCAGAGATTTGAAAAGGATGAAGGTGTGTTGGAAGAAGGTACGAGACAAGTGGGAGCCGTTGAGGTCAACCCTGTTACTTTAACTGTTAACTTTGGTGACTCAGAAGAGAGATTACATGATGTTCCTATCATGGCTAGTATTGGGCCTGCTTTTCAGCCTGTATATGAGAGCTTTGGACTTATGGAAATCAATAGATATCAAGCCCAGATTTGGAAGAACCAATCCATATCATACGGTTCTAGGCTTCAGAAAGTGCTAATTAAGGAAGTTTCATCTATCAAAATAGTGGAAGAAGCTTGGATGACCGTATCTCAAGTGGGTATGAAGGGGATTCCCCAGATTTAGAATCAAGCGGAGGGTAATATCTCTCCAGAACTATCTCGAAATCTAAAGTCGAAGGGATCAAAACAATCGAAGAAATGTGTATCCACGAGATTATCTATTGTCAGAAGGAATAAATTTTACAAAAAGGGAATGCAAGAAGAACAGAAGGGTACAATTAGTTCGAAAATTAAGGGCAATAGGGGTAGGGAGCTTCGGGGTGGGAATCGGTTATCAGGAAAGGAAACAGAGATGACGCTAGAAGTAGGTGAGGCTTTGGGAGTGGAATTCTCTGGCCTGAGAGAAGATACGATTGATAGGCTGGAAGCAATCGAGAGGAGGAGTAAGTCTTGAACCTATCCTTGATTTCTGGTGTATTTAGCTTTGTGTGTTGTTTTTATATATATAGAAGAGTCTATGTCAGTTTTATCCTGGAATGTGAGAGGGTTGGGGAAAGCAGAAAATATAAGAGAGGAATCTCGTGTTATTGAGTCGAATAAGGTTGATGTGGTCTTGTTGCAAGAGTCAAAAATATCCGAGGATAGCAGTTTCTTAGAAAGAATATTAAAAGGAAAGTTTTCTAAGGATCTATTGTGTTCGCCTGGTGAAGGAGCATCTGTTGGTCTTATTTCTTTGTGGGACTCGAATATGTTTGCTATGAGCAATCAAATTGTGATGAGAAGAATTTTAGCTATAAAGGGTAGATTAGTAAGGTTCAATAAGGATATAGGTTTTGTTAACATTTATGGTTCGAATGTACAAGGTGAAAGGAAATATTTTTTTTTGAGAATTTGAATGTTGTGATCACTGATTTGAATTCTCCTGTTATAGTGGGAGGTGATTTTAATGTTGTAAGAGCGAAGTATGAAAGAGTAGGGGTATGTGATCAACAGACAGTCATGAATATGTTTGAGGAATTTATCTATACTTGGGATCTTGTTGAAGTTCCAATTGTGGGAAGTTAGAATACATGGTTCAGGGGTGGTATGAATTTGGAGGCGAGTAGGCTTGACAAGTTCTTGGTCTCAACTGATATAGTAAAGTTGTTCCCCATTCTCACCCAAATCACTCTACCTAGAAGCTTATCCGATCACATGCCAATTATTTTAAAAGAAAATAAGGTTAAAAAGTTCAATCGACCGTTTAAGTGGTTTAACCATTGTGTGGATGATTCAGAGCTTTTCGGAATAATTAAAGAATTATGTGAAGGGAATAAAGAAAATGGTCTAAATCAGATTCTAGAGTTGGTCAAGGAAGCGACAAAGGTTCGGGATAGAGAAGCCAAACATAAATTTCCTCATTCGACGGGAGAGCTTGGTAGGCAGATTGATATTTTAAAGAATAGAGTTATTGTTGAGGGTAACAACATTACAATTCAGGATGAGATTTATTCTTTTAAGGCAAGGTTGTGGGTTGTGGTGAGGAAAGAAGAACATGAGTGGCTGTAAAAATCTAGATTGAAATGGTTTAAAGAAGGTGACAAAAATACGAATTTTTCCACCTTTCTGCTTTTTCTCGAGGCAGAATCAATATGATATCCAGAATTAAGGTATCGAATTCAGTGGTCAAAAGTCAGGTTGGAATGCATAATGCTTTTGTTAATTACTTTCACTTCGGATATAATGATGTGTCTACTGTCCCTCTTAAAAGATTCGGAATACCTCTGAAGAGGTTAAAATCTGCATCTAGGCATTTTATTGAACGCCTATTTTCGGAGGAAGAGGTTTGGCTAACTATTAAGGCGTCTGATGGGTCAAGACCTCCAGGGCTGGATGGGTTCAACATGGATTTTTTAAGAGGTTCTGGGGGTTTATTAAAGGGGAAGTCATGTCATTTATGCATAATTTTTATTGGGGTCGAGTTCAAGATTTATCTTTTAATAAGTCTTTTATTCATCTCATTCCGAATAAGGTGGAGGCTATTTTTACGGAGGAATCCAGACCGATTTCGTTGGCGGGGATTTTGTATAAGATAGTTTCTAGAGTCTTAGCCAAGAGGATGGGTTCGTGCATCTCTGAGGTGATCGGTGAGAACCAATTTGCTTTTATGGCCGGCAAGTAAATATCAGATTGCATTTTAATATCTAATGAGGTAATTGATGGGCTGTCAAAGAGTAAGAAAGAAGCAGTTTTGATCAAGGCAGATTTTAGTAAAGCGTATGATAATGTTGATTGGGGTTTTTTGAATCTGATCCTTAACAAGATAGGTTTTGGCAGGAGATGGAGGAGTTGGGTGAAAATGTGTATTTTGACTCCTTTGATTTCGATGCTAGTTAATGAGTGCCCTTCAAATTATTTCTCAATAAAAAAGGGGCTTAGGCAAGGTCGTCCGTTTTCGCCTTTCCTCTTTAATATCGTGAGGGAAGGCTTTGAGTGCTATGTTCAAGAGGTCAATTGATATTGGTCTTTGTGGTGGGGTTAAAGTGGGGTATGGAGGTTATGTCTTATCTCATATTCAATTCGCGGATGGCTTTCTAATTTTTTCCGAACTAATGAGACGTCGATTTTAAACTTTAATCATGTTCTCAAAATCTTTTGAGTAGCTGACGGATTAAAATTAAACATGAAAAAGACAAAGATGTTTGGGATCAATGTGGAGAAGAGAACTGTGAAGAGGTGGGCTGGTTCGATTTATTGTGGTGCGACAGACCTTCCATCGAAATATTTGGGTATGCTGTAGGTCAGAAGAAAAATTCTAAGAATCTTTGGCAACCAGTATTGGATAAAATCAGGAATCAATTGCAAAGCTGGAAAGGTAAATTTTTATTATTTGTTGGTAGAGTAACTTTGATAAAATCAGTTTTGGTAAATCTTCCTGTGTATTATATATTTTTTCCTATATCCATATCAATTGCCGAGCAGATAAATAAATATATGGCTAATTTTCTGTGGAATTCCCAGTCAGATAGGTGCATTCACTGGGTTAAATGGAATAACATCTGTGGTCCGAAATCACATGGTGGGTTATGTTTTTTTATATCAAAACTAGAAATCGTGCCTTGCTAAATAAGTGGATTTGGAGATTTAGTGTTGAAGTTGATAGCTTGTGGAGAAAAAATATTGTTACCAAGTATAAATATGATCTTCATTTCATTATTCCGAGGGCAGTCAATCACAGAAATTCGTATTAGATTTGGCGTAGCATTGTTAATTCGATTATTTCTTATGAGGTGGATCTAATGTCTAAGATGAAATGTGTTATGGGAGATGGAAGAAAAATTGAATTTTGGACAGATTATTGGACCGATCAGGTTTCACTTAAATATGCGTTCCCGAGAATTTATGCGATTGCGGTAAGAAAGCTCGGAAAGATAAGTGAGTTTGGAAGATGGGAAAATGGAGCATGGTTTTGGAGTATTAAGCTGAGAAGACCCCTGTTCGAATGGGAAAAATCTGTGTGGTTGATTTTCATTCAAGTTCTGAACAAAGCTGTTAGTGATAGTCAAGGAGTTGATAAACTGAAATTGTTGGGTGCGGTAGGTAGGAAGTATACTCCTAAAGCTTATTGCTTAAAGATGGCATGCGGTGGAATGGTGGAAAATCACATATGGAAATTGGTATGGTTCAAATTGCCTTCTCCCAAAGTAGCTGCATTTGTGTGGAGAGATGTTCATCAAAAAATAACGGTCATTGTAGAATTGGAAAAAAGAGGTGTTAAGAATCTTGAACAATTGAGATGTCTTTTATGCAATCAAGATCCGGAATCGATAAATCATGTTTTATGTATATGTGGGATTGTTTGGAAAGTATGGAAACGATGGTGTAGAGTGTGGAAAGTGAATTTAGTTATCCTTGTAAATATAAAATAGTTACTAGAGGTTTGGTTCTCTCAACGAGTCAGGAAAAAAGTTCGGATTTTGTGGCAACTTGGTTTCTTTGGACTGATTTGGGTTATTTGGCGATGCATAAATAAAGCCAGATTCCATATAACTGTGTTCTCGGCAAAACAAATTTTTACTAAAATTTTAATATAGGTAGGGGTATGGGCGAAGTTCCTATGGCCATCGTTAATTCCCTATGTGCAAGACTTTGTTAGGAGTCCGAAATCTTTCGTTATCAGTTGATGATTCTGTAGATGCGTGGTCAGAGTTCCTAGTTGTCATTTGTAATGTTTGGATTTTGTAGAATCGAATTATGGTCTGTTAGGTGTAATGGTATTGCTATGGGTTGATTTGTTACTATCCTTGTATGCAGGTCTTAGTAGAGTGTATGGGCAGGGGAAGGGTATGCGGTTTGATTTCTTCCACTTAGTTGTTCGTAGGTTAAGTGATTGTGTATGTTGTATTGTTTGATCTAGTTTGTATCGTTTGTTCTACCTTAAGGTTCACTCTTTTTCCTCCAGATAGGTATAGAGAGGTTTTTTAATGAGGTCCTTGGGGTAGTGTACTTTGTATTCTCCTTTAAATACAAAGTATCACTTTTAAAAAAAATGGTGTCGGTCCACAGGGATTTAGAAATTTCTAATTCTGATTTGATTTGATCTTGAACCAAGAAAACTGTAAAACAAATAATTTAAAAGAGGAGAGTTTAAAACAATCAAGTAAACTAAATAAAATAAAATAAGTAACAAAAGTAATAAAAGTAAATTGTAGAGAATTAAATAAGATGAGAGTTAGCATCCAGCTCGCTTTGCCCCAATCTGTCTCGATCACTGAAATAGATTTTACTTTGGATACTTGTCGGTTACAGTCTATAAGACCCAACCCTTGTAACTTGCTATTCTCTTCGGTGAACTAATTTTTCAAAGTCAATCCTTGAAATATAGCCCTTGTTTGGATCTAATATACGATCATTCATCTAATTAAATAAATAATATACAAATTAAAATATAAACTAATACTAAAAAAATAAATGAATAAAACATTCTCAACAAATAAAATAACAGAATTTAACAATGTATATCAATGAGAATTAGAACTGAAAAAGCTCATGCTCGGATTATGTTGTCTCAATGAGATTTGAACCCGATCTTGATTTCCCTTAGCGAACTGCCACTAAGTTTGTTCTTAGGGAATTAAACTTTCTACAAGTCGATTCTCCTCCCCAATTGTAGATCAAAACCTAGATCAAACCAATGCTTGCTCTTTGGGTTGAAAGTGTTAAGATGTTTGAAGGAAAGTCGATTGCCTCTCATTTTTTTTCTTCCAAAAATCATGAAATAATTTGAAGATGTGATGTGCCTTTGCAACTCTCACTAGATCGAATCAAATCATTGCTCATCTATCGACTAAGAAAAAGTTTAGCCAAGCATGGTGGAGATCATGCTTGGTGTGTAGAAAGAAAGAAGATGAAGAAGAAAAAGGTTCTTATTAAACTAAAAATCCAAAACTAAAGAAAAACTAGTACCGGTTCTATATCGAATTCTAAACTTGTACATCTGTCAAGTTTCACCCTGATGGATATTTATAGCTTGAGAAAATCTGAAGGAAACAAAATACTAATTCTCAAGAAAATTAAAACACTTAAATTCCTGACATATAGTAAACTAAAAATCCTAATAATAAATAATTAAAATCGTAATCAAAATTTTAAGCAAACAAAAATCCTAATTAAATAAATAATAAAATCTAAGATGTTTGAATTTAATTATAACTTTTAATTCCTAAAGAATTGTGGTTCACCTTGCTTTTCTCCTTTGATCTTGCAAACTGAATTATCTAATCAGAGATTGTGCTTGGATCGATCTTCTAAACATAGTTGGTGCCAACTTCTCCCAAAAAATAGGAAAATTTATTTAATTCGCCTTTTAATGATTGTTTATTGGGAAATAGAGTCCTGCACAGATTCGATAATAAATAACCTAAATTAGAACTATAAAAGGAGATAAATATATCAATTAATAACAAAATATTAATCAAATAAAATACTCATTAAATTCCCCCTCACTTATTCAATGTTTGTCCTCAAGCATTCCTTAATCAATTTATCAAAATCTCAAATTATTAATCTTTCATCTCACAATGTACCAAGGAAAACCAAACAAGCTAATGATCACATTTATTATCGGAAACAATGTAACAATTAAGCAAATAGGTACAAATAGTAAGAATTTTAAGTATAAGACTAGATATCCCAATTGTTCATCAATTTCAATGTAATAAGACTCAATACCTCACAAGGATTCACTTATTATCACTTGAAGTGTTTAAGGTAAAAGAAATCGCTCAAAAGCGGGATTAATAAAGACATTATCATAGGCTAAGAAAATCAAGTTTCCACCACTCATTCGAACAAGATACAATTAATCAAAGAGTCTTTTAATAAGTTTGTAATGGGGTTTAGTTTGGGGTAGGGATAAGGCCGAAAAATTAGGTTCAAAAGTCAAAAAGAGATGTAAAATATATGTGTTCAAGCCACAAATTCAACAAAGTAAACACATTCGAAGAATCGTATTTAAAAAATCAAAATTTTCCTTTTTCTCCCATTTTCTTGTTTCAATTTTCGTTGTTGCTTTTCGGTTATTTTTTTGGTTTTTTGTTCGAACGCTTTGTTTGATTATTTTGGATGCTTCATTTTTCTTCTCTTGATTTTCCGTTCGTGGAACAAATCTATCTCCTGTCTCGAATAGGGTAACAAGGGATGGTGAAAATAAAATTGAAAGGTTTCGGGTTTTGTAATGTGGTAAAACAAAGAAAATGGTAAAGACTCAAGATTGATTCACTAGTGGATATAAAATGGGCAGGTAATTTAGGTAGAGAAGTGAGTTAATCCTAAGTGCCCTAATCATCTTAAAATATAAAGTTTCAACATGTGGTCTCGATATGTATTTAATCACAAGTTCTAGAATATCAAAATTGATACGGCGCACTCAATCAAACAATGAGCAAGAATAAGAAAGTATGCTCGTTTAGGCTCAAATATCACAAGAAGGGATCATGTGTATTGAATCAAGAAACATATTAATCAACGGATTCATGGAACACTTGGGCTTTGCAACTTATAAATTGACTGAGCACAAAGAGGAAGCACCTGATCCAATGCTAAAGTAATTGTTCTATAAGAATTACAAAGCAATGGGTACGAAAAACTAGTTCCCAGAGTAATGGAGGATACGAGCCCAAACCTCCTCATACAAGTCCTCCAGTTTATTCCTTGGGAGCTTAAGTTGAGCCACTTGAGGCAAGATGGCTTCCCATCTTCCACTGTTAATATCAGCAACAATGGTTTTAATACTGTCGACGGTATTCAGAGAAACCTGGCACTCGTTTTGTAGAGTTTGAAACGTTTGATGCAACGAATTTTCTTTACAAAATTGGAGCACAATCTTAATAATGTTGACCAACGAGAAACGAGATCGAAACAACCAAAACAAAAAAATTGTTGGAAATTCATGAAAGTATCTTTGGCATTACCCAGATGCAGAAAACGAGAAAATAAAAAACAAAACATAAACATGTTGGGAAATAAATGATAACAAGTAATTTCCCTATAACCAGATTAGTGAGAATGTGAAATAAAAGCGGAAAGATAATACCCGAAATTGATAACGGAGTTCAGCCAATTGTACCTACGTCTTCGGACTGCTGCAGATCTTTTACTAAGAGAGAAAATTTACAGGTATTTACAAAACACTCACTACTCACAAGAAAGCTCTCTAGTATTGAGAGAAAGAAATGATTTGGGATTTTGGGATGATTTTGAAGCTAAATGGGTTAGGGTATTTATAGTTGAAGCTTAGGGACTAATCTTATAAATACCCTAAAAAATACAATGACTAAAGTTGTAATATTCCCATTTCTATTTCAACAATAGATGCCCATTTATTGATTTTCAAACAGCCGCCCATATTTCCAAATAATTTCACTAGCAGCCGGCTGCCACATCTATTTTTGACCAACAATCTCCCACTTGAAGACTGATTTTAATCTGTTTTCACTCCTCGATCAATGCTACAACATTTCTGGTCTTGTTATTCTAGCATGCCAACTGAAGCTGAACACAACTTCAGTTTGTCCGTAGTCACCGTCTTTTTCAACATGTCTGCCAGATTTTGAGCTCCACTGATATTTTCAAGTTTCAAAATCCCATCTTCCAGAAGAGACCGGATAAAATGATATCGCAATTGTATGTGCTTCGTCCTGGAATGAAAATACGGATTCTTTGCTAGATGGATAACACTTTGACTATCGCATTACAAGACATTATTTTCTTGTTTCTTGCCTAACTCTTCCAAGAAACTTTGGAGCCAAACCATCTCCTTGCTGGCTTCCGTAACAGTGACATATGCTTCAGTTGTGGAGAGAACAACTATCTTTGGTAGTTGAGAAACTCAACTCACTGCGGTTCCTCCTAGAGTATAGACATACCCTGTAGTGCTTATTCTGATGTTAACATTTCCGGCTAAGTCAGCATCTACATATCCTGTCAATATCGTATCTCCACCTTTGAAACAAAGTGTTTTGTTTGTAGTACTCCGTAGATATTTGAGGATCCATTCGACTGCTTCCCAGTGTACCTTGCCCGGATTATTCATGTACCTACTAACAGCTCCCACTGCTTGAGCAATATCTAGTCTGGTACAAACCATGGCATACATCAGACTTCCAATTGCTGAGGCATACGACACCTTTATCATGTGTGCACGTTCTTCCTCCGTCTTTGGTGACTGTTCTTTGGAGAGTCTGAAGTGAACACCTAAAGGTGTACTTACTGGTTTAGCATCTTGCATGTTGAACCTGGAGAGTACTTTGTTGATGTACTCAGCCTGTGATAATATCAAAGTCCCTGACTTTGTGTCTCTCTTGATCCTCATCCCAAGAATCTCCTTTACAGTGCCCAGATCTTTCATAGCAAACTTCTTCGACAATTTTTGCTTCAAGTTTATAATCTCTTGCATGTCTGAGCCTGCAACGAGCATGTCATCAACGTACAACAATAAAATAATGAAGCTATTTTAGAACCTCTTGATGTAGCAATAATGATCTGCTTGGCATCTGGTAAAACCATTGTTACCCATGAAGCTATCGAACTTCTTGTACAACTGTCTAGGAGCTAAGTTTAAACCATATAAGCTCTTCTTCAACCTACATACCATATTTTTCTTGCCTGACTCTATGAAGCCTTCTGGTTACCTCATATAGATTTCTTCCTCCAAATCACCATGAAAGAAAATTGTCTTCACATCTAACTGCTCAAGATGTAAATTTTCTGCAGCTACAATTTTCAACACCAGTCTGATTGTAGACAGTTTTATGACTGGAGAGAAAATTTCATTGTAGTCAATACATTCTTTCTGCTGAAAACCTTTGATAACAAATCTTGCTTTGTAGTGTTTGCTCCCATCATGCTCTTCTTTGATCCTGTAAATCCACTTGTTATGGAGCGCTTTCTTGCCTGGTGGTAATTCAGCTAATTCCCACGTCTGATTTGACATAAGCGAGTCCATCTCATCTTTCATGGAAGACTCCCACTTGACTGAATCATTCACTTGCATTGCTTTATCATAGCACTCTGGTTCACCATTGTCAGTCAACAACAAGTAGTGCAAAGAAAGAGAATATCGTTGGGTTAGTTTAGGAATTCTGGAGGAGCGTCTCAGTTCTGGTGTACCTGGTTCTTCTTTTCAGGTTTGATTTGAACATCATTTCTAGAAATCTCCTCAAACTCAGCAAATTCCTTTGTTCCAGCTTCGGTATTGGAGCTACTTGATTCTACAGTTAACCTGTCTTTGTACATCACATTCTCATTGAAAATGACATCTCTGCTTCTAATGATCTTCCAATTTTCGTAGTCCCAAAACTGGTAACCGAACTCATCACCACCATAACCAATAAAGGCACATTTGTTGGACTTAGCATCAATTTTACTTCTTTCAGCAGAGTCTATGTGTACATAAGAAATACAATCAAACACTCTTAAGTGTGAAAGGTTTATTTCTTTCTTGCTCTAAACTTCCTCTGGTATTCCACCATCCAAGGGAACTGAGGGCCCACGGTTGATCAGGTAAGCTGCAGTGTTGATAGCTTCAGCCCATAGAAATTTGGGTAATCCAGTATGTATTCTCATGCTTCTGGCATGTTCATTCAGAGTTATGTTCATGCTCTCTGCTACGCCATTCTGCTGCGGTGTCATGGGAACTGTTGTCTCCATCTTGATCCCATTGTTTGCGTAGAAATCTCTGAATCTACGATTTCTGTACTCTCCTCCATTGTCAGACCTCAACCGCTTAACTTTTAGACAAGTCTCATTTTCCACCATGGCCTTCCATTTTCTGAAGGTATCAAAGACTTCTGATTTCTTCTTCAGAAAATAAACCCACACCTTCCTCGTAGAATTATCGATGAAGGTGACATAATATAATGAGCCTGCAAGAGATAGAACTGGAGATGGTCCCCATACATCAGTATGAACCAACTCTAACTTTTCAGCCTTGGGTGTCTTACCAATCTTTGCAAAGCTGACTTTCTTTTGTTTTCCAAAGATGCAATCCTCGCATAGTCCGACATCTACATTCTTTAGATCCGGCAACTTCCCTTTTGAAAAAAGTGCCTTCATCCCTTTCTCGCTCATATGGCCAAGCCTTTGGTGCCATAGGTTTGATTTTCCATCAGCATCTACCGCAGCAATGATATTCTCAAAATTTGAGGTTACATAGAGAGTACAAGTCTTCTTACCACGATCAATGACAAGTGCTCATTTGGTGATCTTCCATTTACAGCCTGAAAAGTTGTGCTATATCCTTCTCTATCAAGTTGTCCTACAGAAATCAAATTTCTTTTGAGGCTAGGAATATGTCTTACTCCTTTCAGCGTCCAGGTGGTCTGGTTTGGCAACTTTAATCGGATGTCTCCTTTTCTAACAATCTATAATGTTTCATCATCAGCTAGATGAACCTTCCCAAAATCACCACTGACATAGTTCTCCATGATTTCTCGACATGGGGTGGAGTGGAAAGATGCCCCTGAATCCAAGATCCATGATTCAATCGGACTGTTGACGCTTAGAATCATGACATCACCTGTCTCATCTGTCACGTTGGCAGATTTCTGTGCGCCGATATTTTTCTTCGGTGCTCGACAATCTATTTTAAAGTGACCCTTCTTGCCGCAGTTATAACAGGTAAAATCTTTCTTTCCCGTTCTTGATTTTCCCGTTCTAGATTTGGATATGCCACAATTTGAATTTCTTTCTGAAGTTCTCCCTCTGGACTCTGTGTACAAGGCTGAGGAGGTTGATGCTTCATCCGATTCTTTCCGTCGAATTTCTTCGCTCAGTACCAGATCCCGAACATCGTCGAATTTTAATTTGTTGTTTCCCGACGAGCTACTGACTTCTGTAGCAGTAACATTCCAACTATCTGGTAGAGATGATAAGAGAATTAAAGCTCAAACTTCATCATCGAATTCAATTTCCATGGAACTCAACTGGGTTGTGATTGTGTTGAGTTCATTCAGGTGTTGAGACACTGATGCCCCTTCTGCCATCTGCAAATTGAATAATCGCCTCATCAAGTAAACTTTGTTTGAGGTTGATGGCTTCTCATACATACTGGAGAGAGCCGCCATAAGACCCGTCGTGGTCTTTTCCTTTGCTATGTTAAAAGCAACATTGCGGGACAACGTCAGTCGGATAACTCCGAGGGCTTGTTGTCGAGAAGAGCCTAGTCTTCATTCTTCATACCCTCATATTGCTTTTCTGAGAGAGGTTGATATAGATTTTTCTGGTACAAAAAATCTTCAATCTGCATCTTCCAATGCCAAAGTCTGCACCATCGAACTTTTTAATTTTCACATTCCCTTCATCTGCAGCCATCGCTCCCACTCAAATCTGGCTTCTTTGGATCGTTCTGATAATTTTCACGAACCGCCGTGTATTAGAACACCTCCTTCGACAAATTCGTATCGCTAACAAAATTTTACTATTCACGAAATTCACTATTCATGTAAATAGTAACATCGCAAAAAATTTACAAAATTCACAACCAAAAGCTTTGATTACCAGGTGTTGTGAAAAAAACAAGTAACGAGTAATTTCCCTATAACCATATTAGTGAGAATGCGAAATAAAAGTGAAAAAATAATACCTGAAATTGATAACGGAGTTCAGTCAATTGTGCCTACGTCTCCGGACTACTACATATCTTTTACTAAGAGAGAAAATTTACAGGTGTTTACAAAACACTCACTACTCACAAGAAAGCTCTCTAATATTGGGAGAAATAAATGATTTGGGATTTTGGGATGATTTTGAAGCTAAATGGGTTAGAGTATTTATAGTTGAAGCTTAGGGACTAATCTTGTAAATACCCTAAAAATGCAATGACTAAAGTTGTAATATTCTCATTTTCATTTCAATAATAGCTGCCTATTTATTGATTTTTAAACAGCCGCCCATGTTGCCAAATAATTTCACTAGCAGCCGGCTGCCACATCCATTTTTGACCAAAAAAACAGAGAAGGGAAACATACTCCCAAGCTTCGATCTCTGGAGTCATGGTGGGTGCCCGAGTGAATGGATTGATTGAAACAATTAACAATATACTGAAAACTTGAATTCCTTGTTTTATTTACATTTTTTTGTAATAATTTATTCTAGGACTGTAAATGAGACGAGACAGATCATGAGTTACTAGAAATCGACTCGGTCAATGCTAGACAAATACTCGACTCGAATGGACTCGACTCGAGTTCTTAACGAGCCGAAATGAGCAACTTGATACTCGACTCGAAAAACTAGTGAGCAACTCGAAAATATAATATATTAAGATTTTATTTTAAAAAAATTATTAATAATATTAACATTTATGATTTGATTTTTTTAAAAATGTACTATAAGGTTTTCATGTTCGAGTTTCAGGCTTTAATTAAGTTAAATTTATGATTTTTTCCTTTTCGATCTTTTATGAGCTTCAATTCATGATTTCAAGTTGGAGTCGAGCTTGAAAATTTTAGGATCGCGAGTTTTCGAGTCGAGTTGAGCTTCATTGCAGAGTTTTCGTGTCGAGTCGAGCTCAGCAATACTCAAACTCGACTCGACTCGTTTACAACCCTAATTTGGACTGGCTTGAAGAGTTAGGCTTGAACTATCTTGGGCTTTGGGTTTTAATGTTTTAAATTCTCTTAACCCTAAAAAACCCAATTATTTATAGGGTAAATCACATAAATGGTCCCGACTATAAGATACTACTTTATTAAGTCACTCGACTTTTAAAAGTTACAAAATAATCCTTTAACTATTGAGTGTTGCTTTGTTGAGTCCCTCAACTATTAAAAGTTACAATATATCACCTGACTATTTATTATGTTCAAAACTCATCATTTTTGTTAAAAAATTGACGGTATTCTAACCTAAACGTTAACATGCTAATTGTGATATGATAAAATCTAATTCTAAAATATTAAACGAATATTATACCCAATCATCATGTTAAAGTTCAACTGAGACAACTGTCAATTTTTAATGAAAATGGACGAGTTTGAAACATAATGAATAGTTATGTGACTATTTTGTAACTTTTAATAGTCGAGAGACTTAATAAAATAACATTCTATAATCGAAAGATTATTTTATAACTTTTAATAATCGAGGTACTTAATAAAGTGATATCCTATAGTCAAGGGACAATATGTGTACTTTACCCTTACTTATATTAGTCTAATTGCCCTAACTAGAACTCACCCCTTTTCTCTGCGCTTTCGATCTCCTCATTCACCATTGCAGCAGCTATTTTAAGCTTGGAAGAAAGTTGAAACTTTTAAGAAGTACGATGAAGAAGAAAACAAGTAAAGAGCAGGCTAATTCTGTTGGTATCGCCGAAGATTTTCATATGGGTTAATGTCAATGGAAATTTTTCTGCTGATTTGCCTTTGAATGATCTTTGTATATATTTATTTAGCTTTTCTGCGATGGGTTTACTTCTTTTGTTTCGTTTGTTTCAGTGGAGAATTTTAGTTGCAACCAAACAAGGGAAGAAAAAGGATAAATTAAGTAAGACGAAAAGAAAAAGTAAAGAGAAAAACGCTAGCGTTGGAACCGTTGATAAGCTTGTTGATGAGAACGAAGTTCATGCTCAAGGTGAGACTTTTTTTATAAATTTTTTTTTTAAAGAAAATTAAAATTTTCTAAAGATTAAAAGCCACAGGTTCTAAATAATTGATAGGATTTGTTTGGTTTACTTAGAATTTCATCAACTCTAACATTGCATTTGCAGATTCCATTATGAAAGTAAGACCAAAAGTTGTAAATGCATGGGCTTTTCTTTTGGTTTATTTAGAATTTAATCAACTTTAATATTGCAATTGCTCTTTGATGTTTACATAATAATTTTTGGTTTTTGTTTTTGTTTTCCTTGTAGACAAATTTAGGAAAGATAGAAAAAAGAAATCAAATGGTCAGTTGGTGGACAAGAGTAAAGCAGCTCAGGAGGATGAAGTTTATGAAATACCTTCTGGAGACGATGATTGCTCAAAAGGAATGAAAAGTATGAAACTGTTGACTTCCCTTTGAAGATTTTTAGCGTTTGGTATTGCAGTAGAGATAAACTTCCAAAGCAGTATTGTTAATATTCCGAATTTTGCTCTGAAACTTATTAGTTTAAGTCTTCTTCCTATCTTCGTTTAGTATATGCGCCATAGTAGGCGATATTGCAATTGCCAAACTTATAGGTAAAGCCAGAATTTTTTTAATTGATGTTAGCATGCCTTTTCTTATTTGGATTCTAGTTTGATCATGTATTTTCCATTATCAGTTGATAGACAAGTTTATTGTTTTATAGACATTTGATAGGCAAGTTTTCTTAAACTGCAGAATGGTTTACAGACTACCACCAAAGCAGACCTGGCTTGAAGGTATTGCAACAAAGGATTGACGACTTTATAATTGCATACGAGGAAAAACTTGAACAGGTATTTTTCTTCTTGGTATTTATGTTGAATCATAGCAGTACCAGTTTTGTCAAGGTGTTTACCTTAGCATTACACGACAAAAACATACGTCAAGACCTTTTAGGCAAGGTGCGTTTGATCAGAGGAATGCACTTGGTATGCCTAGGTGCCTTTTTTATGAGACAGTAGATAAAAAGAGAAAAAAAAGGTTGTATAAGGAGAAAACATCAAACTCTCTACTTCTCAACGTTTGAATATTCAATGACAAATTCGAGACTGTTAGACAATCATGCATATTGGCCAACAAAAGAATGAAATTTTGCATGCTTCGTAGGATTTACATAATTATATATTTTAGCTTATTCCACATGCACTTGTACACAGGTAGCTGAGCATCCTTTTGCACTTTTTGGCACATGGAATATAAGGATTTCAATAACTACACCGCACCTTGCACCCTTGACACATTGTTAGAAATGTTTTTCTTGTTATTTACTATTTTTGGTCATTATGGTGATATAGGAAAAGAAAGAAAAGGAGGCTCGTCTTACGGAAGGGGGATGGATACTTGTTGAACATCATAAAGGAAGGAAAAAGACCACAGACTCCGAAAGTGGAACTACGGTAGGTTCTTTTTCCCAGGCTGCTGTGGAGGAGAAATTAGCTAAGAAGAAGAACAAAGAGGTCTCTGATTTCTACCGCTTTCAGAAAAGAGAAACCCAGAGGAATGGTATGAATGACACTAAATTTGTTTTCTCCCCCTTTTTTTATACCAAGATGTCACTATTGAGTTTATTATGAACATTTTCTGGTGGGTTTCAGTTAAGTTGTAGGGTGTAGAGGTTAGGATTAGCTGCTGGTAATTGAACATAACTTTACACGTCTCTTTTCTGCTTTAATAAATTCACATAAATTGTATGTAGTATAGTCTCTCAAAATTATGCGTGCTAGGCAACCGGCAGGCTATGCTTGTCCAGAATTCATTTTGCTTGAAACACTTGTATCCTTCAGACTTCTGTACGAGGGATATGACCCTCAAAAGACCTTCCAAAATCATGGAAAAGCTTAAGCACACCTTCCCACACTTAGCCTAAATTCGAACAACGTAGTTGGCAGGAGGATCTAGATGGGCACTGCATGCTCGAAGTGGAGTCGAGATTGTTTCATTATTTATTTTCAAATACACTGATCATCATCATTATTTATATTTGAATAGTAATGAAGGGGATCCAGATCCCTCAAAATGGCCTTTACTTCGATGTTCTGCTTTCGGGCAATGTCTATGATGGAAGAATGTTGTTGTATGTGCATGTCTGGTTGATTGTAGAAGTTTCCTTTTTACCTATGAATGCCGACACAATGGATTTACATAACCTTTTTTTCTCCTTGCAGAACTTTTGACACTCCAAAGCAAATTTGAGCAGGATAAGAAGCGGATTCAACAGATGAGAGCCGCACGGAAGTTTCGACCTTATTGAGATCGAAGAGTGGAATCTAATCTCTCTTTGATGGTTTCATCATTGCTGCATTTGAGAGATGGAATCCTGAATACCCATTTTGTGCAATATGTGGTTTCATACTATACTGGAAAATCGGCTGCACTCTTTCAACCAGAAATTTACAATTATATCAACAATTACAATCATTAAGAATCTTAACACGTCGATGGTGATTGTAATGCATGCATATTACGTACTATATGCATGTTTTAATGATCACATGTAACACAGAGATTGCATGATATGGAATTATAGTTCAAATATCAACAAATTATCTCCGTCAATCTGTGCAAACTGCATCCTTAATATATGAAGGTAACAAATGCATTTAAGATTAATAAGTGAGAAGCTTTGCTTATGTATAATTTATTATATATATCGACAAGAATTAAGATTTAAATTTCATCAATAATTTCATTTACTTGTAAAATAAATAAATTAAAAAGGCCTAGTAAGTATATCTATTTTATAATCAAAATTAAAACTAAAAGCAACCCAATAGGTTTCAAAAATACATCAACTACCTGGCACACTTTATTCAACACTTAATTTCATCACACGAAGAGGGAAAAACCAGGAACAAGAACGCTTGATAATTCAGTTTTATACTAACTCTTAATCACTAATTTATATATGGAAGAATACATTAAACTTAAAATATGTTGTTTGCTATGGTTAGTGGGTGCAGCATATTAGTGGTCATTGTAGTAGAGTCAGTGTTGCTGATATTCTCCTCAATCTCTAAACAAATAAAAAAACCTTTTGTCAGTCATTCGTTTATGTTTGATGGATTAATAATATATAAAATTTAAGTTTCATATATTATTAATAAAATTAATGATATCGTTATAAATAATGTTCAAATAATAACATTATATAACTAACAAAATATAAATTTATATGCAAATAATCCTTAAAATACTCTTAAAATTTGACCATTGTCATTGCTTTTCTTATTACCTCTTCAAGAAGACTTTTATTTGCTGCTTTCATTATCCCTTCCTTTTATCCAACAAGAGAGAGAGAGAGAGAAACAGTTATTACACAAATACAATCAACTAAATCTGTATGTATAAGCACAACTAATAAAACATTTAATTGATGATCACATTTATTTTTGTTATTATGCTTTCAAATTATTTTTATTTTTAAAATTTATTTTTTTATTTTAATAATTTTATCAAAATCTTTCCAAATTTTAAATGGATAATCAGATTTTAACAAGTAATCCAACCACTAGATAGGTCTATATATAAATAATCACTCTCAATATGTCTATTCTTTTGACTTTTCTTTTAAGTGATTATCAAGATTTAGATGACTATAATAGAGGTCGCGCCATTAATAAATTTGTGTTTTGATCAATATATATGGGATAGGATCTTGTTACCCAAAGTAAAACTCTTTTAGTTTTATACATATTTAGGATCGTTTGATAAATGAAAACCAATGATCCTAAAAAGGTTGTGATTAATTTGTTTTTTCCAATGAATATCTTCTCATTTTCTATTATTAATCTTAGCCTTTAATTTCTCTCATCCAACGATCCTAAAAAGATGTAAAACTAATAAGTTTTACACTAATTTAAAGTCATTAGATTTAAATAAATAAATGGCTTAGATTTAAATCAATATTTCTTTAACTCGCAATAAAATAATATTTTTTTAGAGTTAAGGTTTAAGATTTAAGCTTTAGGGTTTAGGGGTATATGATTTAAGGGTTATGATTTGAGATTTTGGGCTTGAAGTTTAAGATTTAGTGTTTGGGGCTTTGGATAGGGGTCTTAGGATTTGATACTTTGGAGTTTACGGTTTAGGATTTGAGATTGAAGTAAAAAAAGATATTATTTTACTGTGAATTAAAATATATATTTATTTATGGGTTGTAAACTTTAATTAAAAAATATTTAATTAAATATAAACCATTTATTTATTCATGCCCCTATATTTATATATATAATTAAAAATAAATGTCTAAATCACATATCTAGTTTATTTTAAGTATTAAATTTATTTTTTGTCGATGTGCTTAATGTTTATTCTATTATTGTTTAAGGTATTTGTTGTTAACTGTCGTTAATCAAATTAGTACTTGACGCACAAGTACACGACATGTTTATAAATTTATTTTAATTTTACTAAAAAATAAATCGTTAATTTAAAAAAAAAAAACTAAAATCCTTAAATTACTCAAAAATTTTAAATCTCTGCATCTCTTATGCCACCACTGAATCAACCACCATCGATCATTCCTTCTATCGTCGAACTCATGTCAATCGGTTGCCCCATTGTCGTCGCATATCGTCACCCGAAATAGAAAAATCCCAACATTTAATCACTAACCCTATCACACAAGATCATTTTTTTCACTCATACATCATATGTTCATCGTCGTCGATGAGACTACACTATAATGACATGAATTTCTGAGTCAATATATGAGAATTAGTCCAGGATAATTTTGGGTCGGTCTAGGAGCATATTTGGACCTTTGGGACAAGTTGAGTCTCTTTAAGAGATAATTGAGCCCGTTTAAGCCTAGAAAATAGGGAAATTGTTGGAAGATTAAATATTAAGGGACTAATTAGGTAAATAACTCATTGAGAAAAAATCAAGATGATCTTTCCCTTGATTTTGTGATGTCACCGTGGGTTTAAGGGAGAGAAAAGCTGATATCTTTTCTATCACCCTTCATCACATTGTTTTCTTCTTTTCATTAATCTCTTTTTCCCCTGAAGTTAAAAAATTTCATCTTCGCTTTTGTTGAAAGCATCATATGCTTAAAGCATATTGGTGTTTCTAAATTTGAAGTTAATGTTTATCTTATTAGCATGAATGATTAGAGTTTCTCTTGTTTGTTTCGATTAATTAGAGATAAAGGAGAGCCCGCTAGTATCAGAGGAGATGAGAAAGTTGGAGGAAGCTGAGCTAAGGGCCATAATTGATGTTTTGATTAAGGTAGTGTATTTGTAATTTTATGATAAATTATAACACTCATAAATATGATACCATATGTGTGATATATTGATAGTTGAGTTTATTGAGTGATATACATGTTTTGTGATTAAATTGATGAATTTGGTGTTAAACATATGGTTATTTGATGCTAAATGAACCTACAATATCGAATTATCATGACTCCCAGGAGTTTTGAGCTTTTCATATTGTTCGTAATGATTCGATAATTGTCACAGATTAGTCTTGATCTTTGTTCGGATTTGTTGTGAATTTAACGATTGGGTTTGTTGTGGAGGGGCCAGTGCCCGCTTTAATGTTTTCGTTTTGTAAGCGTCAGTGGTCTTGTACTGTGTACCTTGTTAAGAGTACTCTTTTCCTCCATCTAAGTTTAGGGAGGTTTTAAACGAGACTCTTAATTTAGGTTTGCTTTATTAATAAAATTCATATTGTAACCCCCTCAGACCGATGCGGATAGCCCGATCCGATCTGGAGTGTCACATTAGGGCCACCGGAGCGACCCACCGAAAATATGGCGGAAAATTTAAAACTTTTATTAAAACATGTAACTTATAAAATCATTTATCAGTATGCAGAAATAAAACACATTTTCAGACTCATATATAAAACAAAATACAATTACATGCCCCCTAATCGTATGTACCGTACTCTGCAAACAGCACAGGAAGAACTCCCTTACTGATGACGATAGATGCACTGGTTTAATCCTTTAAACCTGCAATGGTGAGTAATAGAGTGAGCTTCGAAAGCTCAGTAATACAGAACTACCAAATGATGCTGAAGAACATGCAAATACAAATAAACATATATTTCCTTGTCGGTTCAGACATCTACAGATCTTTATGCTGAGCGAAGATCCTACAGATATTTCAGGGTAACGAACAATGAGCTTTCATTTCAGAGAAATATTTCGGATGACTGAGTTCAAGAGATCAGAATATGTTATCTAGTGTGTTCCCTCAAAACCAGTGAAAAGATATCGATCTTTTAAAACATATTTTTTTATTCAAAAACCATAGTAATTTCCCCATCTGTCACGAACAAAATGTGTAGGTTCTCTATAACCATACAACCCTGTCACGAACAGTAAGGCCCTGAGCACAAAGCCAAGGAACTTGCAAGTAATCAACCTCATCACGAACAGTAAGGCTCTCAGCACAAAACCGAGGAACCTGCAAGTATTCAACCCCGTCACGAACAGTAAGGCTCTCAGCACAAAGCCGAGGAACCTGTAAGTATTCTTCCCGTCACGAACAGTAAGGCTCTCAGCACAAAGCCGAGGAACCTGCAAGTATTCTTCCTCCAACTATACCCCCAATAAAAAATATTCCATCCGTAAACGGATATATCAAAAATCAAATCATAGTTCAGGTCAAGTATCATATCAGAATCCATGTCAGATATCATAACAAAATTCAAATCATACATCATATAAAATATTCATGTGATTAGGGAACACACCAAAGTTTACAGATATTATTCAGAGGTACTGGATAATCTTAGCAGGTAGAGAAATATGGATCTTCAGTATACCGATAGAATATCATAATTTAGAATCATTATTTGAAGAGTTCAATAACTGACGGAATTATCAATTATTCAGAATGAGACTTGAGTTGATAAGAAAGAAATGAAGACTCAAGACATTTACAATCAATGTCGATTGATTTCATTATCAAACAACTTCAGATGAATATCTCCCAGAATTAATGTTTATCGACTGGTCAATTCATTGTCCTTACAGGGTATTTACACTTTAATACCACAAATTCTAGTCCATATATAATCTTCGGAATCATCACTGAATAAATCTTCCAATGTCTTTATTTCATGTTCACGCTTCCACTATATCATGAAATGCTGACGTGCTTGATTTGTAGTTCAAGATCCATAAAACCATTACATCATGTATGTTCACTTACGTTTCCAGACTCATCCAAATCACTTACTTAATCCTTAGTCCTGGAGATTACTTAGTTCATTTAGCATTCAAGTCCATTACAGTTACTTCGGGATTTTCTAGAGTAATTCAAACGTTCCAGAATTTTAGATACATGTTGTACTTCGGTTCCATTCAATTTGGTCTTCGTGGTTTATTTGTTGAACAAACGTCCAATTCTTAGTATTGAATGCGGTCTAGAGTTGAGTTGAGCTGAGTACTTTCAAAATTATCATCGAACCACA